AACTGGTCATTATTCCAATAGATGTCCTCTCAAAGAAAAAATTCGTACTGTTCAAGTTGATGAAGATACTAAAACCCAGCTTCTCAATCTCATTCAATCTAGTTCTGATAATGAGTCTAACTCTGAATTAGAACAAGTTTTTATTAATCAAGAAGATTCTGATTATGAATCTACTCAAAATTCTGACTCTTGCACTTCTTCAAATGATAAAGAAATTTGTGGTTGCAAAACTATAAATATCTTAACAGGAGAAGAAGAAATCATTCAAAATATTATTGATAGGATTGATAATCCTAAACTCAAAAATAAATTTTCATCTTTGCTTTCTTTCTCTACATCAAAAGAAGATTTTGATGATATCAATCTTACAAATATTCTTCGACGAGCTCAAAAAGAACTTTCAAAAGGTTCTAAACCTTCAATTCCTGATCTTCAAGTTGAAGTCAAGGAAATGAAATATCAAATTTCAAAACTAGAAAAACATGTTCAAGATATTCGTATGGAAGTAGTTTGTCTCAAAGCAAAAGACTTAACCAACGACTATTATTCTCAAAACAAAGGAAAATCCAAAGTTTCCTCAAAAACTCCTTCTCATCGCTCTCATCATTCTGAATCATCTTCATCTGATTTTTCATCTACTTCAAAATTTCCTCAAACTGAAGAAGAAAAAAGATTAATGTTATTAATCGAATTCAACTTCAGAAATGGTACTGCAATATTACTATTATAGTCAACAAAGAATTCAAATTCACTACTCGTGTTCTGATAGATTCAGGTGCTGATCAAAATTGTATCAAAGAAGAACTTATCCCTACAAAATATTTTGAGAAAACTACTGAACGCCTTTACGGTGCTAGTGGTAAAAAACTCAATATTAATTACAAAATTTCAAAAGCTCATGTTTGTAATTCAAATATTTGTTTCAAAAATATTTTTTATCTTTTAAAAGATCTTGATCAAGATGTAATTCTTGGTACTCCTTTTATTGTTCCAATATATCCTTTTAAAACTGATTATAAAGGATTAACTACAAAAATCTTTGGAAAGAAAATTCACTTCGAATTTTCAAATCCTCCTTCTTATAAAGATGTTAATTCTTTAAAAGAAGCTGCAATTTCAAAAATAATTCACAATATTAATTTAAAAAGAAATCATGTTCAGTTTCTTAAAGAAGAAATCTTTTCAAAAAACTGAAAAAAGATTAGAAGAAGATTTTTCTATAAAAAATCAAATTTCACTTTTACAAAAGAAAATTGAACAAGAAATTTGTTCAACAATTCCAAATGCTTTTTGGAATAGAAAGAAACATATTGTTTCTCTTCCTTACAATTCTGATTTTCATGAAACAAATATTCCTACAAAATCTCGTCCTATTCAAATGAAAAAAGAATTACTTGATTTTTGTATCAAGGAAATCAATAATCTACTTGAGAAGAATTTAATTCGTCCAAGTAAATCTCCATGGAGTTGTTCTGCATTCTATGTTAACAATTTTGCTGAAATTGAAAGAGGTGTTCCACGCCTTGTTATCAATTATAAACCACTCAATTCTGCTCTTCAATGGATTCGTTATCCAATTCCTCAGAAGAAAGATCTTCTGAATCGACTTTCAAAAGCTATCATCTTCTCAAAGTTTGACATGAAGTCATGATTCTGGCAAGTTCAAATTAAAGAAGAAGATAGATACAAAACTGCATTTAATATTCCCTTCGGACAACACGAATGGAATGTTATGCCTTTTGGTCTCAAAAATGCCCCTTCTGAATTTCAAAAAATCATGAATGACATTTTTAATTCATTCTCAGATTTCATTATTGTTTACATTGATGATGTTCCCATCTTTTCAAAATCTATTGAACAACACTTTAAGCATATCCATACATTTATACATGTCATCAAGAAAAATGGTTTAGCAGTTTCTGCTAAAAAGATTGTTTTGTTTCAAACAAAAATTTGTTTTCTTGGTCATATTATTCAAAATTTTTCAATTATACCAATTCAAAGAAATCTTGATTTCACTGACAAATTTTCAGATGAAATTAAAGAAAAAACAAGTTTGCAACGCTTTTTAGGTTGTGTCAATTATGTGGCCGATTTTGTCAAAGATATTCGTCAAATCTGTGCCCCATTATTCAAAAGATTACAAAATAACCCTGACTCATGGAGTCACGAGTGTATGCATGCGGTTCAAAAGGTAAAAAAGTTAGTCAAAAATATTTCCTGTCTGTCTATTCTTGACCCCACAGCTTTAATTATCGTCGAGACAGATGCCTCAAATATAGGATTCGGTGGTGTGTTAAAGCAATTACCCCTAAAATCGTCAAAAGAACAATTGGTCAGATTTCATAGTGTAGTATGGTCTGGACCTCAAATCAACTATTCAACTATCAAAAAAGAGATTCTTTCAATAGTTCTTTGTATTTCCAAATTTTAAGATGATTTGATCAATAAAAAATTTATTTTGAAAACTGATTGCAAAACTTTAAAAGATGTTTTACAAAAAGATGTAAAAAAATCTTGTTTCAAAACAAATCTTTGCAAGGTGGCAGGCAATTTTGTCCTGTTCTGATTTCGAAATTCTATATATTCAAGGAAAATCAAACTTCTTGACAGATTTCCTCACAAGAGAGTTGATTCAAAAGAGTGAGAAAAATGAGTTGGGCTAAGAAAGTTGAAGAAGAAGAGGATTCTCAAAATCCTTTTCAAACAAAAACTTCAAGAAAGAAGAAAAATTCAATTCCTTTCTTCGAAGATCCCCCAAAGGATCAAAAGGAAGCTTCATCTTCCTCAAATACCCTCTCAACCTTTGTCAAAAAACCCAATCAAAAGGCTGAGTCCTCAACCCCTTCAAACTTCAAAAAAGCCGTTCAAAGTTCTGGCAAACTTCCTCAAATCAACCCTCCAAATTCTTTCAAATATTTTACTAAGAGTATTTCCGATGTTGTTTTTACAATGGAAACCTCTTGGATCAATAGATATGGTGGTCTTGATGATTGCCTTGAATTTATCCTTCCTCAAAACTTTTGGTTCATGCCCTCAAATATCCAAAAAACTAGAGAATATTATGAAACCATTCTTCTTTTGACTGGTTCTACCAAAATTTCTCATACTCCTGAACCAAGAGACAAATCAAAAATTATGTTTTCAAAAATCTCAATTACAAGAGTTCTGTCTTATGAAAACTGGGGACAAAAACCTTTAGAAGAAAAGAGACTTCGTCTCTCAAAGACAAATTTTACCTGTCCAGAAAACTTCAATTATTTTGTTTACCAGAATGCTTGGTATAAGGTTTTTCTTTTCAGACCTGTTACCCATTCTTGGTTCATTATTTTTAATCAAAATTGTAACCCTCATTTTTCGAGTTGGTTTCAAACATGGTTTTTGTGTCATGGACTTGAAGAAAAAATTTTACCCAGTCTAGTTCTTCAAGGATATGAATACTTCAAAAGAGAAGCAAAACCTTTTCTCAAGCTTCAAAAAAATCTTTTGTTCCAATTTGCGTTCAACATGAGAGTTTCCTGGATTTTTTACTGGGATTTCTTTCAATATCAAAATTTCAAAGATGATTATTCCTGTCAACAAATTACAAGGAGATTCAAAATTAAATGGTGGGCAAAGTTTAAAGAAACAAACTGTTGTCCAAAGACAGTTCAAGCATGGATTCAAGAACAAAGAAATTTAGGTGTACCTAAATTTTCAAAGAAAGAACAAGAAGATCAAGCTGATTTTTTGACAGAAAAACAAAGAATTATTGCAATGTTATCAAAATGTAAAGATCCTAAAGAATTGCTAGAAATTTATGATCAAATTTCTAAATAAGGATCTTCAAAAACAAATGAATCTGATCAAGATGAAGAATCTCAATATTCTCAAGAGACTGACAATGGTGATGACTTAGTTGATCTAGGTGATGACTATGCCGAGTATCTTGCTCAAGAAAAGGCCGCTAAAGCTTCAAAGAAAACTTCAAAATGACTATATGGACCCAGTTTTCTCGATGAATTAAGGAAATCTAGGGTTTACAAATCAAAAGAGATTTTGCTCAATCTTTGTCCAATTCAAAATCAATGGTGCAATTTTTGTCAAGATTCCCATCAACTTTGTGTCAGACATCAATATCTCTTTTAATAAAGAAAAGGATTATCTTTATTAAAGGAAGTCAAAAATTGGAAACTTTTGACTAAAGTTGATGCTGCTTTTCAAGATGCTTCATTATGATGTCGTTCACTCCTTTGCTCAAGATTCTTTCTCTCAAATGAAAGAAATTTCAAGTTCGAATTTCATTATAAAAGGAGTTCAAGACTTCATTTCAAGACAGAGCGAATTCAGCAAGACGAAGTTTAACTTTTCTTTGTAATTTGTTCTCTCAAATATCTTTCAATTATCATTGTAATATTTAAATCTTCTTCAATTCTCAATAAAATTATCTATTTTCATAAATTTCTGTTCTTCTATTTCATTTCCTATTCCCCTGGGTCTTTAATTGTATTATTTAAATCTTCTTCAATTCTCAATAAAATTATCTATTTTCATAAATTTTTGTTCTTCTATTTCATCTCCTATTCCCCTGGGTCTTATATATATATATATATATATATATATATATATATTTATTTATTTATTTTTTTTATTTTTTTTTATTTATAACGAAAGAAATTGCAACCGCTACCTTTCGAATGCGCACCGAGTAAATCCTCAAGCTGACACAATAACTTACAAACTACACTAACCAAATAAATCGCAGCAGACAAGCCCAGTACGACAAACTCGACTGAGAAAGTGTTGGTAGAAAGAATCGAACTCGTAATCACAAACCTCCACGCTTACCTACTTTACGATCTCGGCCACCCCATAAAGGTCGGTTAATTCAGATATTTTACCTCTGAGATTCTCTGTTATTTGAAGGAACCACATGACCTAAATATTGGACCATTTCATTAATGCTTCTTCTTTTTCTTTTTTTCGCTGTACGCTTTCTAGAGTTGAACCAGCTATCAACATGGAAAAAAATATAGTTTAGTACATAAATTATAACTGATTTTTGCTCTGTAAGGTCAATCCATACCGTCTTGTACATAAAAATAGGGTACTAATAAATCTGAAAATTAAAAACTACCATGCATCCCAACGACACATGCCCAAACAGCTAAACAGGCAAAGGCAAGTAAGAGTTGCCAACAGCGGACGATAACAGTGCTCGATTGAGCCCAACAGAATAAAAATGTTTCATAGACGAAAATAACTTCTTTAACATGATCTCTTGGAGCAAGCCAAATTCATTTGCGAGCCTCCAACTTCTTCTGCTCTTTGGCTGCAAGGAGAAATTGTGGAGTAAGGTCAAGGTGAAAATGAAGGAAATAAAAATTACTTAACAGTTGGCGTGACGAATGCAGATAGCTACCTGCTTTCTCCTCTTCACGTTTTTTAGCAGCTTCTGCTCTTTGTTCCCTTATAAGAGCCAAACGATCTGCAAGATTAAGAAAACAATCATTAAATGTTTCTTTTAAGAAAGAAAAATAAGTTGTAAATCTTGAATCATGTGGATCGAACTCAGTTAACAATAATCCCATATGCACAAGATGAAATATGTCACAACAAATTGGTAATGTTAATCTGAAGGATACCATGTGACGTGGGAGCAAGGGAGAAATATGCAATTACAACGTTATAGAAAGTTATACACTTTCATGGTCATTTTATTACGAACAGCTCAAACATAAAACGATGGAAGATCTCGGAGCTGGTAGGTTGCACATTCAGTTGATCCCGTANTGGTCATTTTATTACGAACAGCTCAAACATAAAACGATGGAAGATCTCGGAGCTGGTAGGTTGCACATTCAGTTGATCCCGTACGCTATGTGAATCAGTCTATAGCTCAAGATCAAAGTAATCATAGATGCATCAAAATAAGTGTACACACTACCTGGTTAGAATACGCTGAAAATCACTACTGCACATTTATTGCTCAACAAAAGTTGCATAATATCCTAATGGACGACATTGGGCCTTTAATAGGAAATGTTATGGGGAGGTTTTAATTATTGAAACATACACCAAACTAGTTAAGCAACCAAGAAAAAGCTACAAACAAGAGAAAAAGCCAACAGAAGTAGAACCTGCTAAGTGACTACGCCACCAATAATTGACAGCACATTTGGATTCAGTTATCTAAATCTTTATATAATCTGATCTAGTGTGGTTTTTGCACAGATTTTTGTTTTAAAATTACCATAGGAGTAGGGGAACTTCAAGGATTAGTCAAAAGATGAGGCACCTTCTGGATTCAGGAGGTAAACATTCACCAGAACCACGGGAACATCCCCCACCCCCACACTCCTCTCTCTTATTAATATTCTTTAACAGCAAAACTTAGTAAGAAACGAAATGTAGATTCAAAAACCCTACCTAAATCTTTCCTTGCTTGTTCTGTCTTCCCTTGTTCCTGCAGTTTCATGTACCTTTCATGAGCTCTCTGTTTTTCAACCTCCTCTCTGTTAACAAGAGGAGAACAACAGGAAAACAAAACGACAGTAAGAATATCAGTAATAAAAAGAAAACCACCACTGAATTATCAATAACATTATCAGAACCTACTGCAGATGCCAGGAAAAATGGAACTAGATGCACACAAGAAAAAGAAATGCTAAGACAATACTGAATAAATTTCTAAACACAAACTTATTAAGAGACCAAGGATCAATCCAGAGAAAATAAAATAAAGGTCTCTACACAACCAACCCTTAACACTAAACCACTCTGACAGCCTCTTTCCCTTTTGGAGGTGGTAGCAGCCATAGAAATAGTTGCATTCCTCAGAGTTTACTCTCGATGATAAAAAATTAAACGCTACAACTGAGACACGTGATAGAAGGCAGGTAGGAGAACAATCATTCGATAAAAGAATTGAAGCTAGAGGTTTTATTATCCTAATCTGTCTATAAAGATTTAAATATGCAAACAAAACAAGTGGAAAGATGATGAAGACAAAATGAATGTTTGTTGATTACTTCTATTCAAAACAAATGCCCAGTTGAAAAAACACAATCACAAAACCTTTCACGTCTTGAAAGCTCGGTTGTTTTGTCCATCTGTCAAATAAAAGCAACAGTTAGTCTATGATACATTGATTAAAACTATTTGAGCAGATAACTTATTCAGTTATTTGTGTAGCGTACATCAACATCTCTAGCTTTCAGGTTCTTTGGCTTGCCTGAATTCAGATTCTCAACTTGAATGATACCTTGGGTTCCTTTCTTCTTCTGTCAACAGCATTGACCAAAAAAGAGAAAATATTTATTTATCTAGCCATTTCATTAAAAATACACGATGTCACATCTAAACAGAATAGAAATGTTAACTGCTTTAGCATTTAGCCAGTTTACAGACTTCAGATTCTTCATCAGATTCCTCTTCAGACTCTTCTTCGGATCTCTCATCTTCTTCTACCTCAGCTTCTTCCTGATAATATAAAAACTAATTAGCAGATTGTTGAAATTCATAACCGAAATTTGATTAGTTGGATACAATTAAGATGATTATGATCTATCAGCTCAAAAATAAAATATCTGCAATGAGAATTCAGCCATAAAAAGAAAAATAAGAAAAATATCAATAGATTAAACCAACATATACCACTCTCTCTCACTAGGATTCACCCATAACTACTGTAATCATCTGTTTCTCTTTCGCTTCACCTTTTCTTTTAGTTTACCTGTGACTTCTTTGCAAATGCATCTATTATATCAATATCTCAAATAATTTCTAAACCACAGCATTTTTACAGTCTTCAAAATTCTTCAACTTAAAACTACAACAAAACTTGAAGCTGCATAAGAACAAAACTTTTGGATACTTTCAAATCATTCGCTGTGGAGATTGTACCTTTGCAGTCGTTAAAAAACATGACACTTTTCAATGGAAATGAAAGAGAATCGTTACCATCTAAGACAGTATATCTAAAAAAATATTAATGAAAAACTAAAGCAAACAAAATTACCTGTTTGAATGTGCGAGGACGAGAAGCAGAAGTACCAGCCACTGGATAATTGAACCAAACAAGGGAAAATATTGAGTTGGTGAGTGCAGG